AGTGGATTAATCTTTTGAAGTTCTCATGGCCGGACAAATTTGACCATCTATTGATCTTTGCTCTATTCCCGTTACATGACAATGAGCAAAGAGGGGCAGCTGTAGATGCTCGTTTTTGTCTGTAGGCTTCGTATCCAGTACACGATACAAATTTGGACCAGTGGGAGCCCAAATCAGCCCAAAACAGTAGTGTTAATTCCAGTCCAGACCACGTGAAGTCCTACAAGATACGAACAGTTATAGGAAAATTAAAAAATAGAAAAACGTGGATGCCATTTTTTCAGGGAATTGATCAAAAAATGAAAGAGTTGGTTTTTTATTGGGAATTAACCACTGGAAACTAAAGGGAGAGATATCAACCATCACAGGGACACAAACAGAAAAGGAAAGAATTATCGAAGAGAGAGATTAGCCAAGCGTGATCAGGAATTAACCGAGAGTACGAGAAGAACCAGAGATCAAAGACAGAAACGAAAAAGAACTAGAGAGATAAAGAACTAGAGAGATATCTGTAATTAATCACCATTACGAGAAGGACCAGAGACCATTTTATTTATTTTTCTACACAACAGAGCAGGAACTAAAAAAGTGTGTGTAAGATATTTCTTCGCTGCATATTCAAAGATCAATCGTTGTAGCAAAGGATTCAATTTTCTCTTACAAAAAGTAACAGAAGCAATACAAGTAGGTTATTTTCTTGATACTTTAGAAATACTAAGCGCCCATGTTTATCGCTTTTCTTTCGAAGCAAGTAGAAATATTAAGCTAGTCTCGATTTACCTGATATGCTTCGAGTCTAGATTGAAATTTGTTTCAGGAGTGGCTCATCTGGTTGTAGTTTCATCGCTCAGCAGCGTCGGTCGAGAGCATAAGTGAGGGCTTGAGAGATTAAAAAACCAGAATATTGAAAAATAATTATAAATTTTCAAAGCTTTTTCAAAGTTATTAGCAAACAATGAATTTTTTTTTGGGGTATGAATTAAAAGGAAGAGTTTAGTGTTTACCTGGCAGTCAGTCCCTTTGTAGGTGTAGAATGATTCACCCTTTTAGACGTGAGTGGAAGAGAGGGGAGAGAGAAGAGTGAAGTGAGAGGCGGTTGGGTTCTGCGGGAGTTTAGTGTAGCCTTGTAGGTTAGTTTTCATTTAGGTTTTATATTAAGTTTATGGGTAAATTAAGTTTTAGCCACCGATTTTGTTTGGTAAAATCAGATTTCTAGTCCCCAAAATTTAAGCGTGTTTTACACTTTAGTCACCTTTAGGACTACTTTTGATTATAATATTTTGTGTTTGTGTTGATTTAGCTATTTTCCCAGTTTTAATTTTAGTTGTAATTTTGTTGGGCTTTTTAGGTATAGAACCCTTGTTTATGCGTGTTGATTTATTTAAGTCTCTGGTTTAATTTTCGATTTGCATGTTTAATTTTATGTGTATTTAAATTTAGCCATTATTTTAATATGTATATACACTTTTTAAAATTTATAGTTTGAGATGTTATGTTTTTATTTTTGTATTTAAGTCACATTTGTACATTATATGTTAATATGCATGGTTTATAATTTTTAAATAAAAATATATGTATATAATTTTTTGTATGTCACGTTGTATGATATTTTTAGTTTTGTTTAATTAATTTTGGCATGACACCCTTTTTTCACAATTTGTATGATACCCTCATGTGCATAACTTGACTTATAAATACATAATCGGACTAAGGGTAATACCCTTTTAATTTAGAATTGTCTTGAGTGGCTTGTCTCAACTCATTAGAGGATCGTTTTGACGATTTTAAATTAAAAGTGTGTCCTGAAAGCGAAACCTAAAAAAATTGATTTGTCACTTAAAATTTGGGAAAGAAAGAAAAGGAAATATTCGGTTATTTAAATTTTCCGAGAAAAGATTGTTACAACTCATCCAAGATCTGGTCTCGATATTTTTAAACAATCGAACATTCTTTATCTTTCTAAAACGACTCGGTAATTTTAATTTAATTTATTTGGGTGCTTTTGAATATTATTATTAAATTCACATCTTTGTTTTATGGATCAAAAATCAAATTAAGTTCGAATTTGTAAAGCTCATTGCAAAGACGTTAATTAATCGACTAGGTACCGATTTAGGGCGCTGTACGGGTGCTAATCCTTCCCCACACGTAACTGACTCCCGAACTCATTTTTGGTAACACATACCTCAATTTGTTGTTTTAATTAAAATTAATTTTTATTTAAAATGACAAAATATTTTTGGGTGCCCAATCGCACCCTAATCAAAGATTGGTGACGATTCCTCGAACCATACGTTTTTTATTTTTAAGGAATCCCAAATTTTTCGAAACAATAAGTTTTTTAATTCGTATTTGTTTTTAAATTAAAAATCAATTGAAAGAGATAAATGAAAAATTGATGTGGTTTTCAAAATTTCACTTTTAAGAAAAAATCGTTTCGACAACGTTAGGAGCCAGAATACTTCAAAAAAATCAATCAAACGTTAGAGACCTTTTTACCCTGAAATAAAACGTCAAAGGTAAAAATACTCTAAAACAAAAATATGAGTCGAAATGACAATTTTAATAAACATTAGGAGGTTTGTTTTAAGATATGCCTAAAATAATATATATATATATATATATATATATATAATTATTAAATTTGGTCCCCTCAAAATACATGTATAAGAAGTTATTAAAAATATTTAACATCTATTTTTTGTATTATTATTTTATTTTTAAATGAATGAAATTTTATTTTTTGGTCATTTTTTATTTTAAACTATAAATTTGTTTATATTATCATTTATTAAAAATATTTAACATCTATTATTTACTATTACTTTATTTTAAATGAATGAAATTTTATTTTTAGGTCATTTTTATTTTAGATTATAATTTGTTTATATTATTTTTTATTTAGTTATTTATTTTCTTTAAGTTGTTCATCATCTTTAAATTGAATACTTTAATCAAGTTATTAAGTATTAAACTTTTAATTTCATTTTAGTTGAAATTAATTTTTTTAAAATACTTTTCATTTCAAATTATATTTATGATTTTTATTTCAAATATATATATTTATTATGTGTTCATGAATTTTTATCTCTAAAAATAAAAGTTTCGATACAATTCTGGATAATATTATTATCGATGTATTTTGTTTCATTGAATTTTATGTGAACAAATACGTTTTAAGGATTTATAAAGAATGGTATGATATTTTAATATATAGTTTACATTGATAAAGTATTAAAATGGTTTAATTAATACATATAAAAAATTTAATTGGCCCCTGAAAAAATAATGTTGAGTTCGGTCATTATTTGCATCGCTTCGTATCACACGAAGAGGTACAACTTCCTATCATTAACTACCTTCATTTTTTGTTTTCATTGAAAGTATAATTTATCGTGTGGGCTGATACTATTTCGCAATATCGCACAACGAGTTCTTATGTTTCCGAGAGAAATGTTGTGCTTTTGAGTTTATCTTCTATAGGAATAGAGGCATAATATTATCTTTATGATATTGATAAGCTTGTATGACGTCGAATACCGTATCATGGTTATGTGTTTGTCCAAGTACTGGATACGCATATACTCACTTGGTAGTTTTCATATTCACATGAATCAAAACTTGGTTTTACTCAAACTGAAAAACAGCCCTTGTCTTGCCCTATTTGTTCTCAAATTGTTGTGCTCCACTTGCGATTTAGATAGCTCAATTTGACATTTTCATTATGAAAATCGTCGGGTTCTCGGTTGTTCCTCTCAAACAAGGGTTGTGCGCCTTAAAAATAAACAAAAGACTCAACTAACAAGATCGAAAAACTCATATTGTGGTGCAATGAGCAATCAATGGACCTGTATTAGTACCGATCATAGAATGAGGTTATCCCTAAAAGGATTCAATGAAGACTTCTTGTAGGCCAATAATTTGGTTTAGGGGGGAATTGAACGACATCACCTCTAAAATTGAAAAACGACCCTCTACTTTCTATGCAGAAAAACTTATCCTTCCTATACATCTCGATTCAGTTAAGCGATATATGATTGTAGCCGTAATGCTTACTGCCATTTCCTTTTGCAATATAAAACTTGTAATGCATAAAAGTATAATTATAAGTTTCTTAGATCACACTTTTGAATCACTTTTTCTCTTACGTCCCTACTACCACTTCTTCAGCCCTCCTTTTCCTCCTCTACGAACTCTTCCTATGTGACCTCTCTAGCTTTTCTCTTAAAAGATTTATGTTGTTTTAAGAGAGAGAGTCAAAGTGACCGGTCAAAATGTGTCAATATAATCAAATAATACCAATTCATTTGTCCAAACGTGTCATACCAATTTTTGTAACTGTCAATGTTAATGATTGAGTGACTAAGTTGTTACAAAACAATAACATTAGTGATAGTTTATTAGTTTTAAAATTTTAATATTAAATACAAAAACTCGCTATGTGAGTTATCATTTATATATTTTACATTAGATTAAAGATATAATGACAAAATCACTCTCAACACATGTTGTTGAAGTGAGATTTTTTACATGTATTTAATTATTAAATGATACATATCATGTTATCATTCTGATTTACGTGTCAATATTACATCATCACTATAGATAATGTTATACATTTCACATTAACAATTAAATATATTTAAAAATATTACGTTAGTAAAATATATTAATTATTGGTCAATTAATAATTTCTTTTCACATAATATATTTTGATTAAAAATTAAATTGTTAAATGTTAAAATACTTTAAAAAAAATAAAAATCAAAACGATAATTTCAACTATAGGTAATTTGATTAAATTGAGTAAAACTACAAACATATTAGTTTTCCTAAATTGTTAAACCGAAGAAGACAAAACCAAAAAGTGTGGGAGGGGTGAGCATTATCGCTACATGTCGTTAGAGCATTGGTCAGCTTAGATTTTCCCCACCAAAATCTCAAGGGATTACACAAAAGTATCAATCAAACACCCCCTCCCTTCCCTCTATCTTAACCTTCCCCTTCCACTTGAAACACCCAACCAAAAAGGAATACAGATTACCCAAACAAACTATGGAGATCCCCATCCTATCATTTTCATCCAAGACGACGCCGTACTGGGGTTCCTGTTGCGTTTCTTCCTCTTCTTCCTTCTCCTCTAACTCAAATTTGAGGTTGCTTTGTGAGTTTGGGTCGAGGAAGAGGAGAATGTCCATACGCTGCGCAAAGGCGTCCGTGGAAACGACTGGTGAAGCTACGATTAAAGAAAGCGAGAGCTTTACCGGAAGTCCCATGGGAGTTACCACACTGGATCAAAGCTTTGCTGAAGATTTTCCTGTTTGGGATAAAATCGGTGCTGTTGTTAGACTCAGCTATGGAATCGGTAATGTTTTGGTTTCTACTTTTTTGGGTTTTGTTCCAAAATGATAGATTTTGAGGGAAAATTATTGCAAACATTGATTAAAGTCTCAACTTTTTATATTTATGTTCCTTCTGTTAAAGCTAATGGCACCATGTCTTGTTTTTTTTTCCCTTTTAAAGTAAATCATAAAATGATTTTTTGTTTCAATTTCAAGCAACTTTTTCTTCTATGAGAAGAAAGGCAGATGTCAAAGCTGGCCACTGTTTTATCTTGGTGCTCTTGTTTAGGTAAAGCAGAATTCTTAGTAGCAATAAACGGTTCCGACTTCTGATTTTTGTTGTGCCTTGTATGTGTGTGTCTAGGGATATATGGAGCAATGGCTTTAGCTGGGAGGTTTATATGCTCGATTACTGGAGTCGACTCCATGGGAGGTTTTCACCCTTCATTAGATGCCATTCTTGAAGGACTTGGTTATGCAGTTCCTCCAATCATGGCCCTTCTTTTCATATTAGACGTATGTTCATCGTTTGCTTGTCACTTTATAATTTGTTTTCTACCTAATTGATTGTCAAATCTTGAGAAACATTAACCATGTTCTTTCTTTATGTCATTGAGATCTTGGTAAAGATTATTGATTTGGGTGTATGCTTAGAGTTAGAAGGAATGCAGAATTAGGTCACGTCCAGTTATAGTTGTTATAAAATTTAAATTTTTCATGGATTTCCGGATTGTGTTCGTGTTCAGAAGTTTGTGTTTATATTTTGATGAACTTGTGTGTTCACAGGATGAAGTGGTGAAACTTTCTCCTCATGCTCGTGCGATAAGAGATGTGGAGGATGAGGAATTAAGGAGCTTCTTTTATGGAATGTCACCTTGGCAGGTGAACCAACTTAAATGTCTTTACTGCTTAGATATCCCCTTTCACATGTTTCATGTTATCGAAGCAATTACAATAAACTGATTTCACTTTGCCAAATTTCGCAGTTCATACTTATAGTTGCTGCAAGCTCAGTTGGAGAGGAGCTTTTCTACAGGGCTGCTGTTCAGGTTTGTCATCCTGGAACTTTTCGTTGCTATATCGAAATTCTTAAAAGTTTTACTATCTGGGAGATCTTGTATGCTAAAAGCTGTAGTTATACATTCATAGGTATCTGGATTATGAGCTTCTTTTTCCAACCCTGCTCTACCTATAATGAAAATAAACTGATAAAAGAATCGCTTCTTTTTGAAAAATATATAGGGAGCATTGGCTGATATATTCTTGAGAGGCACTGATTTGGTTTCGGATGCTCGAGGAATGGCATCTTTGGTATATATTCTGTTCTACGAAATGTATATTCATTATGTGGTAATAATATTTTTTCCCGTCACAACTAAGTTCTGTGGTTTTGTTTGTTTCTCCATGATTAGACAGGTGTGCTACCACCCTTTGTTCCATTTGCTCAGGCATTTGCAGCAGTAATAACAGCTGCTCTTACAGGTTCTCTATACTATGTGGCCGCTTCTCCGAAAGGTAGATTCTGGCACTGCAACTTTTAGTTATCCTCAAAAGTTAAGTTTTTCTCACTTGTTCCTTTCCTTTTTCCCATCTTCAGACCCTACTTATGTTGTTGCACCAGTTCAACGATCCGGTTCTGGTCGTGAAGATCTGAAAAAGCTATTCGCAGGTAAGAGAAGATCCTAATAAATCATATTAGTAGCTGCTCGTGAAGATGATTGCATCGCCGGGAGCGAAGTGTGGTGAGCAACTACTACTCTTTTGCATTCATCACTTAACTCTTGTTTTTTGCAAACATGGTGCAGCCTGGTATGAGAGGAGACAAATGAAAAAGATCTACTCTCCCCTTTTGGAAGGAATATTAGCCCTTTACCTTGGATTCGAATGGATTGAGGTGACGATTTTGTTGCATTATTTAAGTAGTTGAAGAATCAAACTAAACCATTTTTATCACAACAGCTTAACTAATTTGGGTTCTAAACATTCTGCTGCTACCTTTGACAGACAAACAACATTCTTGCACCTATTATCACACATGGTATATACTCCGCCACTATACTCGGACATGGTCTTTGGAAGATACACGACCACCGAAGACGGTTGCGCCAGCGGATTCAACAGCTCAAGTCTGAAGGAAATAATTCAAACTAACTGTGAAGGAGCTGTTGATGAATGGAGGAATTTTGTATATTTAGTCTACAAAAAAGTAAAAATATTATGGATTTTATGTACAATCAATTTGTATGCTAACAGTTGTGCTGAAGGAAATCAGTGCACCCCTAATGTATCAAACAAATTAAATGTATTTACACAATAATACCAGTTTTTCTTCTTTGTTTTGCAAATGATGCTGAGAATACGTCAAGTATCAAACTTTATAGCGTGCCAACAGTTAATGCGTTTGTTGCATTTGTGGGTGCCAAAGTATTTGAACAAGTTAAAGGAATCATTGTCTGAGATTGACAATGCTCTTACGTGAAGCAGTGGAAGGAATTAAGAGTTTTTGTTTTGATAGTGACTTGTGCCGCTATTATGCAAACACGTATCCTTACATTAAACTTTGGGGGAAATAGAGGTCCGATTTTTATATTTTTATATTGTTTAGGGTTTAGAGTAGAGTTGTAACTCAAAAGGCAGCTTGTTTGGGTTCTTATTTAGTCTAATAGGGTATCCGTTTTTTCTATTTTAGAGAATACCACAAAAGCTACAGTGATTTACGAACTAGTCATTTTGAGATGACGATTTTGATGAGATATATTATTTTAATAGATCCGGATAAATAGGTTTTACATGGGCCATTTATTTATTAAAATTAAAGTGATGAGTCCATTTAAAATTTTTTAATAAAAATTGTAAAATTAATTTTAATATTAAAAATGGAAAAAAAACTCATCACCTTAAGGTGATAAGTTCCTATAAAAAAAAGTAGCAGTTGGTCAACAGACAATAGCAACGGTCACCATGGAACTCGTCTCCTCGAGGTGACAAGTTAGGTCGAATTTTTTAAATTTATAGCCGTTTATAATCGTTGGGATTGAGATTATAAATTAGGATTTGGGGTTTAGGTTTTTTTTACCATCCACTATTGCGGAAAATTTTGAAAAATTCTTACTTTCTGAAAAATCATGAAAAATGGCTTATTGAGAAGAAATATTACGCCTCAATAATGTTCATATTTCATCGATTGAACTTCATCTAGAAGAAGAACAGAGCATTCGTCAGCACAGGATGACATCGAGAGATCCACATAAGCGGATGATGATATATCTTCAGCAATTCGATCTATATCTAGCCATATTTTTACATGGCTTTAAGGTGTACCCGACGTTGATTTCGGCTCTAATTGAACGTTGAAGACCCGAGACGCACACTTTCCATTTCTCGAGTGGTGAAGCAACGATTACTTTGAAAAACGTCATGTTGAAAACATTTTGATATTTCGATATAACAAATTAAGTTAAATGAATTTTAAGATTTTCCAAATGATTTTCTAAGTATATTCGATAGAATTATTCGAATATCAAAACATTACTCCAAATCTTTTAAAGATCATTTTTAATCCTTACTCAAAGTGTAAAATTAAGTTTTAATCTTAAAACAATTTCAAAATAATTTTACAAAGTATTTCGAACCATTTCAAAGCAAAAAATTCCAGATTGCTCAGAGGGAACCGATTCCCCCCTAAGGGGGAACCGATTCCCCCCTAAGGGGGTACCGATCCCCCCCCCTAAATGGTTTGGCTCCTAGAATTCCAGTATGCTCGGAGGGAACCGATTGCCCCCCAGGGGGTACCGATTCCCCCTTGTATAACGGTCGAAATATTTGAATTTTACACTTAGGGAACCGATTCCCCATAGGGGGTTATCAATTCCCCCCACACTCAAAAGCTGTTTTATTAATTGTTTTCACACTAAAACGGCTATATGATCTTCACTAATCATCCCCAACGTTCAGAAGTGATACAAGGTGTATTTAAACAAGTTCTGAAGCCCTTGATCAACAAGAAATTATAGAGAAACAAGAGAGAAAGCATCAAACACCAAGTTTGTGCAAATCAAGCCAATTTTCCTTTCAATATTCATTTTGCTTTCAAGAACACCATTTGTTCTCATTTGTAATTATCTTTGAGTGTTCTTTTCTTGTTCTAGAATTATGCAAACATCTTACCTTGTGAGGTTTTTCTTGTAAGTTTGCAAATTTGTAATCTTCTCTTTGGGAAAGAGTGTTCTCAAGAATTGGGGTATATTCTTGAGGGTGTTGTAAGGTTATCTCTTTGGCCTCAAAAGAAAGAACAAATTAGTGAATTTGTTGGAAAATCCTTAGTGTGGATAGCTAAGGTAGTGGACGTAGACTTTGATTGAGAAGGTCGAACCACTCTAAATCGCTGTGCAATTACTTTCAATTTTCTACAAAAGCTTCCACCAAATTTTTAATTGCCAATTCACCCCCCTCTTGGCCAATTTCGTCAATAGATTAACTCAACAATTGGTATCAGAGCCTAACTCATTTGAAGGTTTAATCGCCTCTTGAGTCGATTCGGAAAGAGTTATATCGATAATCAAAGTCATCAATGGCCTCCGCTTCAAACTTCGACTCCGGTCTCGACTCGATGCCCGTCAACAAGCCTCCTTTCTTCAATGGAGCTAACTATGCCTATTGGAAGAATAGAATGATTTACTTCATTCAAGCAAGTGACATGGGAGCATTGAATGCTGTAGAAGAAGGATACATCAAACCTCTCACTCATCCAAGGTTGTGGAGTGAAGGAGAGACAAGAATGTTCCAGCTCAACTCCAAAGCCATCCATATCATTTTTTGTGCTCTTGGACCAGATGAAAACGGAAGAGTTTCATCGTGTACAACCGCCAAAGAAATATGGGACAAACTTCAAGTCACTCATGAAGGTATCGATGAGGTAAAGAAATCTAAAATTAGTATTCTAACGCATAGCTATGAAAATTTCAGGATGAAACCAAATGAAGATATCAAAGCTATGACGGATAGATTTTCAACGATTGTCAATGGTCTCAAATCATATGGAGAGATCATTTCAAATGAAAAGCTTATGAGGAAGTTAGTATACTCTCTCCCAAAATCGTGGCAATCAAAGAAGACGGCAATCATCGAGTATAAGGACTTAACGTCCTTAACTCTTGAAGAGCTAATTGGGTCACTCCTCACTCATGAAATGATGCTCGAAGATGAGGTGGACCTCGACAAGATTGACGAGACACCAAAGGAGAAGGAGAATAAGAAAAACATTGGAGTTGCTCTCAAATCCATAAAAGATGAGAGTGATTTGAATAACGATGACGATGACGAGGAAATGGCATTGTTTGCCAAACGGTTTAGAAAAATGATGAGACCTTATCGAGGAAGAAAATTCAAACGAAATGAAGGCCTCAAAAATGAACTGAAAGAGAAGGACCCAATCATTTGCTACGAATGCAAAAAGCCAGGGCATGTCAAATATGATTGTCCACAATTGAAGAAAAAGGGTCAATCAAAGAATAAGCACAAGGCTCATGTGGCTACATGGAGCGATGAAGAAAGTTCCGATGAAGAGGAACAAGAAGTAGCTAACTTGTGCTTGATGGCATTTGGGGAAGATTCTAAGGTAACCTCTAACTCATCCGATTTTGATGATTTATCCTATGATGAGTTATTAGAGGAATATAATGGGTTGGCTTTGGATTATGAGAAATTATTTTTAAAATATAAAAATGTTGTTTCAAAATTGAAAAATGAAAACAAACTCATATCCAAAACCAACAACGATCTTGAAAGTAAAATCAAAGATTTGCAAATCAAACTAGAAGAGTTTGAAAAGAAAAATTTAGATTTACAAAATTTACTTTCAAAGATCAATGATGATCATCAAAAGAAAATTGATGATCTTAAAACCTCTTTTGATAAAGTTGGAACAAAACATTTTGAAAAAGGTGGAAATTCAAAATCCAACTTTGTTAGAAAAAGTTCTAGAAACTACAATCATAGAGGTCCCCAAAGAACCTCTAATGGAAAATTTGTTAGAAGTATGTGGGTTCCTAAAGAACTCATTACTACTAAAGATAAAAATATCCTACACAAATGGATACCTAAGGGGACTAGGATTTTGGAAACTAATGAATATGGACCCAAAAGAATTTGGGTACCAAAAATCAAAAATTAATCTATGTTTGTAGGGAAAGGAGCATTGCTACAAGGCACGGGAAACAAATTCAAATTCATGGTACCTTGATAGTGGATGCTCAAGACACATGACCGGAGACAAAGGCCGGTTCATTGAGCTTAACACCAAAAATGGAGGAGAAGTGACTTTTGGAGACAATTCAAAAGGTCACATTGAAGGTATTGGTACAATAGGTAATACCTCTTCCATACAAATTAAAAATGTTTTATATGTGAATGGATTAAATCATAATCTATTGAGTATTAGTCAATTATGTGATAAAGGATTCAATGTCTTATTTGAAATTAATGGTTGTAAAGTCATTGACATTGCATCTAATCGGATTATGCTTGTTGGTCATAGAATAGGAAACATATACATGGTGCATTTATATTCTTTTGATATGACTAATTTATGCCTAGTTGCCAAGGATGAACATGATAGTTGGTTATGGCATAGGAGACTAGGACATGCTAGTATGAGTGTTTTACAACGGTTAATTCAAAGAGACCTAGTAAGAGGGTTGCCTAAGCTTAAATTTGATAATGATGAAATCTGTGATGCTTGTGCTAAAGGAAAACAAAAGCGAGTTTCTTTTAAATCCATTAATGATGTATCAACTAGTAGAGTTTTACAATTGATCCATTTAGATCTTTTTGGGCCAACTAGAACTACTAGTTTGGGTGGAAAACAATATGCATTTGTCTTGGTAGATGACTATTCTAGATATACTTGGGTTCTATTTTTAAATACTAAAGATGAAGCATTAGAACAATTCATCACATTTTCAAAAGTAATCCAAAATGAAAAAGGTTACTCTATAACTAGTGTTAGGAGTGATCATGGAACTGAATTTGAAAATCTTGGATTTACTGAATTTTGTAACTCTAACGGTATTAGCCATAATTTTTCAGAACCTAGAACCCCTCAACAAAATGGAGTTGTTGAGAGGAAAAATCGAACTTTAGAAGAAATGGCTAGAACCATGCTTTGTGAAAATAATTTGCCAAAATATTTTTGGGCGGAAGCCACAAATACCGCTTGTTATGTTGTAAATCGAGTAATGATTAGGCCAATTTTAAAGAAAACTCCATATGAAATTTTCAAAAATAAAAAGCCTAACATTAGTTATTTTCATCCTTTTGGATGTAAATGTT